GTGTGTAAACGCGTCTGTGAAAGTGTTTGTGTGTAAAAGCGTCTGTGTGTAATTTCACAACTTTTCCCTCCATAGCTCATATAAAATTCACCAACCATTCACCGACTATTTTTTACGACTACCATACTCAGAGCTTTCCCTCCATAGCTCATATAAAATTCACCAACCATTCACCGACTATTTTTTACGACTACCATACTCAGAGCTGCTTGAAGGACGTGTTTTTCGCTCTCGGGCCAACCGTCGTCTAGTTTCCTTCCGAGGTGGAGCTCCCCAACATAGTGACATGGTGACTACATAGGGCTACATTCCCCAATCTCACTGGTTTTGCACCCAAAAGCATCAACACCTTAACATAGGATCAGACCTGGGTTTCTGCCAGGTTTTGACCATCCACGGCTACCTGCACCTCTTCCTCCCCGACCCCAAGGACCCCAAGGGTGCCAAAACGGCCGCAGATGGTGATGACACGCCGTTGGAGCTAGTGGAGGCTGACGTCAAGGCCTCGGTCTATGCACCAAGGGCCACGAAGTGCGTCTTCCAACGCAGGGGGCAGGAGCTGGTGCCTTGAACAAAAATGGTGGAAACAGGGAGAAAAATGGACGAACAATTGTGGAAAAAACATGAAAAAACAGGAAAAAACAACTCCGATCATTTTGGGGGATTCCAATGGATTTGATCAGTGAAACATGGGGAGTTGAGAACGATATTGCAAGATATGTAGGAATTCCAACGCAATAAAATTGGGATGGGTATTTTGATGGTTCATCAACGCACGTATGCTATTGGGTTTTTGGGGTTGGTGTTAGACGGGTTTCGATTTGAAATCTGGCACCAAATGGGGGGCTTGAGGCGTGATTGCCTGCCGCACACAATAGTAGCATGACCAGAATTGCCTGTGGGCCTGAGCCGCCTTCTCAAAGGTCCAATTTTCAATTCGTGTTGCTTACCTGGATGAACATTTTGATGAACTAGCGACAAACTACCAAATTAGTATCAAATCGATTCAAATCCCTTAAACCTCCCATTTTGTTCCTAGGGTTTCAACTCACCGGTCCTCCCATTGACGCAGGTGCTGGACCTGGCAGAGGCCTCAGCCGACCCCGGCGACGGCACCGGCACGGCCAGCGTTGGCGAGGCCAGTGGCAGCTCCACGGGCTGGCGGAAGTGGTTTGCGAAGGCGGAGAAGACGGAGCCCCTGAGGCTGGGGGAGGCATGGGGTATAGCTATGGTTGTAGCTATAGCAGCTAGGTTGTAGCTATGTGTGGCTATGGTTATGGCCAAGTTATGGCTGTGGCTGCTAATGTTTTGAATGGAAGGACTGTGTGCCCAATTGCAAATGTTTCTTTTTGGTAGAAACCCATTGAGAGGGTGTTAGAAAGCGCCTCATGATGCAGTGGCATGGAGTGTTTTGGCAAGTTGTTTGAGGCGGATCCATGCGAAAATGTCGGACCCGCAGCAGTTTGTGGAGCTGGAGAACCACTGCCACAACTTCGTTCGACGGGGACAAGCCCTTCGGAGTGCCAGTGGATCACCAACTGCTGGATATGGAGCAAAGAACTCCAGTTGATGAGCTTCAAGCATTGGATAGAAAAGTAGGACCAGCAGAAAATGATGGGCTCGGTTACCCGGTTTGGCGAATTTCAAGTCATATTTTCACATATATTCACTTCGAATTTGATTGCAACTTCGATGACTTGCCAGGTCCGCTAAGCTCCTTGAGAAGGCAGCAAGGGATGGGTGCATGGAGCTTGGTGGAGCCCCCCGGGTCTCATTGCTTGTATTGAAGCTGCAGTGGGTGCTGCAACCCCTTGGCTCAAAGCATTGATGCAATCCCAAAGCTGGATTGTGGCACCCAACACTCTCTACGATTGAAGGTTCTGAAGTGTGCAGGGCAAAGTTAGAATCAGTTGAACCATAGGACAGCACTCCTCCCCACAAGCATGTCCTATTTCAATCTATTTCGGTAACTGTGCGTTAGGTTTCGGGAGTCGCATCGTAGTCAAACACGCAATCCTTTTCGTCCATTGGACAAGAGCTTCCTGGTCATTCTGTTACATTCTGTAATGTATTGACAGCTGATGGCAAGACAACTTCCATTTCTGGGCTGTCAACCGGCTGTGCAGCCGGTTGACCAAAGTTTGCCTGATGCTGTTGCAATGGGAGGTTTCTAGCATGCTTTTGCGCAGTGACATCCGCATACCTACACCCTGGGAAGCTTTGATGCAAGAGATCATCCCGTGAATTCTCCAATCCACCTGCTTCGAAGGTTGGCCCACTGCCTTCCCACCTTGTGATGCAATACTGCAATACAATACTAGACCACCAGATGCAGTCATTTCGCATTTTTTCTAATGGAGGAAACGAAGCATTTCTGCATATCTTGGGCCATGGACCCATGAGCCCATGAGCCCACCAAGGAGTGCCAAAGATTGCAGCCCTCATTTGCTTGCCGCAGCCATGCATCCAGCCGTTTCTGCTCCAGCCGGTCCTCTGTAACTTGGTCGAAGGCGTGCCACACCGTTAAATATTCGATAATTTTCGGCCGTTGACAGCCAGTCAACTGCCAGTTTGTGTGATTGAACTTTCTGATTTAACTGATTCAAGTCACTCAGTGTGATTCAGTGTGTGCTCCCTGTCCAGGTCTCAGTGGCAGACCGACCCTTTTGTTTGAAGAGTTTACATGAATTTATCCTTTGCACTGATCTTTCTCTACTGTCCGCATGGCGATTCCTTGCGTTATGTTTGTCAAAAGGTTTAGTTGCAGTCCAATGGCAAGTGTTTTCGGCAGGCTTTGATTTCTGTAAGGGTGCTTTGTAGTAGTTTGCGGCATGAGATTGCCCCAGGTAGCTGCTACGGCCACTGCTGCAACAGTTCTTTCCCGCTGCCGGGGTCAAGGTCTCCGGTTGCGGACATCGCAGAAGGTGGCGATGGTCGCAAGGGGTGGACCCTTGGCGATTGCATCATCGGTTACCATAGCAGGTGGCCTGTATGCGTAGGGACATGGGAAAATAAGAGCCCCAAACTCACCATACTTAGCAATGCGCAAGCGCATTATTATATATAAATATAAATATTATATATATAAATATATAATATATATATATATACATATGTAAGAGTTACTACGTGTATATCTAGCAATCCCAAGATACGATATGATAGAAAAGTAAAATCCTACAAACATTTGAAAGTTAAATTTTGGATATTTGCTGTGGTTCCTATATATCTGCAACAATATAATGAAGCACCCAATGGGGTAAGTTCTGGAAGACGATGCTGGACCCTTCCAACCTTCCTGGGATCAATGCCTCGGCCGAGGCGATGACGTTTTTGCAGATCCCCCAAGGGAATTGAGCCGTAGCACCAAGAAGCAGTTGATGCTTGGTTTGAATCTATTGGTTTTGGATGGGTGTCACTCTGGGTTAAAACATGTCAAAACATGTCAAAGCAGGATACCTGCTTGAAGTTGAAAATGAAACCAAAGATACATGGGTTTGGAGTTTGGAAGGTGGCTTTGATATTGCTCGTGGCCGATGGTTTCATTCTTAAACAGCCCGAGTTTGAGGGTTCGAGGCACGTGTTTGTGCCCAGGCTGCCGAAACATCACATGATGGTGGACGTGGCTGTGCTTGCCGCCAGCGACAGCGAGGAGGATCTGCAACGAGATGCCAAGGTCTTGTTGTCGCAGCCGCACATCCGCTCCGTGGCAGTCTTCGAGCCACGCGGTGTGGGCTTGGATGAGTCGAGGGCAGGGGTGCGGCATGTGGCCGGGGACCCCAACCTGGAGATCATCTACAAGGTGGGAAGGGGATCTCAGAGTGGCTCCGCAAGTTTTCCTGTCCAGCTGAGAGGCCTTCTGGGCCGTTTTTTAATAATCAAACATGTCATATTCCCCACTGATGCATGATGACCAAAATGACCAAAACATTGTAGAAGGGATAGCTCACCTGCAGGACTTCCCCAGGCTGATGCTTGAGCTGCTTGAGTCACCAGGAGAGTGGCCTCTCCTTCCGGCTGGACATCTCCCAGCGCCTGAGTCGCTTCAGTCGCTGCCAGGGAGGACGTGGTGAACGGGAGCGCTTGGCGACGTTGGTAGCTCCCGGTGAGCGAGTCCTTATCCTAGGCAGGGCCTACACCAGGCATCATAGTGCTTGTCATCGTCATCAGCATCAGCATCGATGGAACGGATTCCTGACTCCTGACCACTTCATGCTTTGTCGGCTGCCCATCCCTTGCCTCCCGGGCTCCCCCAAAAAGATCTTCAACATGTTGCTTAGCAGTGGCTGATGCAACTCGTTACTATCCGTTTAGAGGTGGCCCCACAGAGGGAAGTCCAAAGATCCACTCAACATGTTCCATATTTCGAGAAGGAATGCAAGCTTGGGGTTGGTGTCGCCAAATTTCGGCCCATACCCCAATATTCACCTTGTGTACTAATATACTACATGGATCTACATGGCACATCTATCCCATCTTCCTGTTATTTAGATCCTCTTCCCGTGGATCTTCCAAGCCCATGACGCGTGGAGGCTCTGGCATTGGCATCACCGCCTGCGTCCTTGGTGCTCGGTCGGAGCCAGCGGAAGTTCTGGGCATTGAGCGGGATGAGGTGAAGAATGATCCGCTGGCTGAGCACAGCGATGGGTTCAAAACCACCAACAACAACCCAAATTGGTCGTCTTTAATGTTTGGTAATGTTCGGTACCAAACCATCCAGAATCTTGGGGGTCAGTATGGTCAAGAATTTTCATACCCAGCTAGTGGGAGGATGCCCCAGAACCAAAGATCTTCTTTGGCGACCTGATCTGGAGGTGGGGGAGTCATGAAAATTGACCAAGGTTTTCCTTTGGGACATGTTTGTTCCCTTCTCATTCCATCTTCTGTGTGAGCCTTCCGGGTGACAAACCGGCAGTGTTCCGCTTGTTTTCAGATGGACCAAGATTTGCTGTGGGGTGCCAGTGTCAGGGACCACGCGTCTATTGGACATTTCAGGGTTGTCCCCTTAGAAGATTTAGAAGTTTGTGTCTCTGGTGCCACTACCATGGAGACTTTATAGTTGAAATGATGTTGAATGGAGTGAGTCACTCCTCGAAGACTTATGAACAAAGCCGGGGTTACGCTGAGAACATGGGCTAGGGAGGGACATCATTGAAACGTGAAAGCATCGTCAAAGCAGAAAGAACCAGATACAGTCCCATCATTTTTGGATATTCTTGGCTTTGGGCCCACCTGTTTATGATGGTTTATCATAATTTTCCGAGTAAAAATTGCCACAATTCGGGTCGAATCACCTCATGTTCACCTCCCACTTCAAACCTTTACAGGGCAACAGCATGCGGCAGCTACAGCAGCCTTTAGCGGCCAAGGAGTTTGCCGTGGCCAACATATGCGACAACAAGCTTCAAAGAACGGTGCGCAGCATCGCTGGAGATTTGTTGGACATGTCCCAGCTAGGCAGCTTCAATCGGATGCTCGGAGGCATCAAAGGTGAACCTGAGGGGGCTAGTGATGATCCAATATTATGGTGGGTATAACGGTATAATCATAATCCAATGAATCGAAAAAGGTTGGTTTGTGTTTATGGGGTTGGGAGGAAGCATTGTATTTTTCTTTCGTTTGATTCATTCATAGGTGCAATCACTCCTATGATTGGATGATCACAGGTACTGACAGATGCTGCCTGCTTTGGGATAATACTGAAAGCTTCTTCCCTGCTTTAGCACCTTTCCCCTGGGCGGTCACAGCACGCCGGTCACTGATTGATTCTGCTATCAGGATTTGTGCCTTTCTGAAGTTCCAGCCGATTGAAAACCTGCAGCCATTGATGGGAGCCTTGATGCCCGGAGGCACGCTGCACTACTACAACCACGAGTCCAAGGAGGAGTTCAGTACCATGGACTTCAGTTTGGTGGGCTGGGAAGGCGGTACATTTCTAAGGGATACGGCCCTCAACTTTTGGAGTTCAAAGTCTTTGGACATGGAGTTTAAACCACCACCAGCAAAGCAGATTGGATCCATCCCCATGACTATCTCACCATCCGAAGCTGCACTGAGGCCAGGAGCCCAGTGCGGTGCTGGAGGCTTTCAGGGCCCTGGCTGCAGGGCATCCGCATCTCCAGGGCGAGGTGCGTCTGACGTGGCGCGGCAAGGTGCCGCGGAAGTCCATCGCGCCCAAGTTTTATCGCGTGGGGATGGATCTCAAGATTTCATAAAGATGAAAAAAAAAGGAGCCGGGAGGGGGTGAGGGGTTGAGCAGGATGGGGAAGGTTGGGGACTTGGAGTTTTCGTTTCTGTTTCTTTGATTGTGTTGGGAGTAACTTACCAGCATATGTTGAGGTAGGTGCGCATCTTTTTGTCGCACAATGACAGGACTTGTAAGGGGTCATTCTGCACATGGCAAATCACACCGTCGATTTGGCTGCAGCTCCTCCAAAAACGGCCTTTTAAAGTGTTTTGTGATCAATGTGGTTCAAATTGAGCATCGCTGTAGAGAGAGAGAGAGAGTCCAAAGATTGAGCTGCACCACTCCAACTGGCAAGGTTGTGGACACCTTGCTGATGCAAGCTGCGGAGCGTTGGACTTCAGCTGTGCGAAAAGCGGGCTGGGAAGGGGCTGGCGTTTGGAGTGGGACAGGTCAGGACCAGGCGCTATGCCTGCAGCGGGAAACTATCCAGGTACCAGAACGAGAGCAAAGCTTTTCGGTTTTTCTCTCCTCCCTGTCCCATCAAAACCATGAAGTTGCCCCCAGACAACCCCAGACATTGCTTACAACTGTTCCGCCCGAAGCACCTTCTGATCCTTCTGAACATGGCTCCAGGATACTATGCCTAGAGATGCCTAGAGCAGCTTGCTGGCTCCACGCAAGTGGCACAACATTAAATGACTGCTGAAAGCTTTAGGAACTCTCAGACCTGGGGTGTATCCTGTCATCCTCACAATATTCCGTTAATTCCCTAGGTGCTTTTTGCAACAGTCTAATGCAAAGGGCGTGCTGCACTCCAGACCGAACCCGGTGTATAGCTATACTTGACCGATGAGTCACCTCCACAGAAAACAATGTTTGGGATCCATGCAGTGGGTTGTCAAAGTTGTTCTCTTCCCCATTTGCCCAATTTTTTGATCCACAATTCATAGATCTTCCCAAAGTCATCGAAGGGACGCTGTCCAGCCCAGCTGGTTGCCAAGTGGGCCGGTGGCCCCATGGAGCTGGGACTCGCCGTGATCTTCGGATTGCATTCGGTGTGCTCCATCTGCTTGACGCTGCTGAACAAACAGCTGGCGGAAGAGATACCATTTCCATTAACCATTGCCTGGGTCCCAGTGGATGATGAGAAAATTCACAGGACACAGGAACTACCCCCAGCCCAATCTATGAACTGGGCAGAAATCGAGGTTGGTTGATAGGGGATTTTCATGAATTGTCCTGGTGCTGCAGATGCAAAAGTGTCTGATGCTGGTGCAGGTCCTCTTTCAATGCCTTGCGAGCATACCCTTCACTCTGATCCTCGGCGCTTGTTGAACATGTTTCGCTGTGGGCCGAGCCTTGCAGTGGCGCTTGACACCGAGAGCATTTGGGACGCTCTATTCCTAGCCGTCCCTGGCGGCAGTTCAGCTCAGGATTGCGAACGCCCGATTCAATCAGATCAAGACGATTCGGACCTCGCATCTACCTGGAGCTTTGCTGATTTCTGTTTTGTTCATCTCTTGCCTGTTGCCTGGCAGAAAATTGTAGGTGACTGGAGGAAAGGCTTGGTTGCTGTTTGGAAGTGCTGACGTGGGTTTTGCATCCGCTGTAGTGACACTGTGGTATCTCCAGCAGGCCCATGGTTCGCTTGTTGTGGAGTGGCTATCTATCAATCTATCTACCTACCTACCAACCAACCAATCTATCTATCAATCTATCAATCTATCAATCTATCAATCTACCTATATATATATATTTATAGCTGCATTTCTTTGTTTCGATCTTGTGCCTGATGTGCAAGTGTAGTCTACGTTGTGTTTTCTCAGGTCGAGGAAGATGTCTTCTGAGGCGGAACATGATCTCTTGCTTGTTGTGTTTTTTTTTTTAAATTGCTTTCTTGTTTTGCGTTGTTGATTTCTTGTTGTTTTTCCTTTTGTTGCTGTCTTGTTTTTTTGCCACATTGTTGTGAGGCTGTTGCTGTTCCTGAGGCTGGTTATGGGCGGACAGACATATGTTGTTGTCGCTGTAGGTTGAAGAAGTTTGCTTTCTTCTTTTGAAATCTTGTCTTCTTGGAAGGTTGGTGCGTATCCTGCGGGTGGGCGTACTTTTGGTCGCCTCTATCCCTCAGGTCGGATTGCTGTTGTTCGTTTGGCTTTTTCATGTGTGCTTTCTGTGTGCGTTTTTTTTCTTCTCCTCTGTGTCTTGTTTTGCTTGACTCAGGCCCTCTGTTTCGCAGCGCGGCGTGGTTGGATTTCTGTGTGAAACCCAAGGGCGCCCGCCCGACGTATGTTTGGGAACATGTGGCGCTCAACCCTTGGGCTTTGCTCTTAGACTGTGTTTTGTAGTGTTGGTGATTCTTCGTTGCGTTTTCTTTCGCTTTTTTTTTTCTTCTCCCGCTCTCCCCCCTCTCTTGGTTTTGCTTAGGATTCGCCGTGGCTTTCGTGGCCCAACAGCGTTGAAGTGGCATTTTGGTTTGCGGTGGCGCAGGCCAATGCAGGCGGGTGTGTGTTTGTTTCTTTTTGTGGGCCTTGCAGTTTTGTTCTTTTGTTTCCGAACTTTTTCCTTGCGAAGGTGACCGCCGTGTTCTCGCTGTTCTTCGGCCAGGGGTTCATCTATGGAATCTTGCCCGGGTGCTCATTTTCATCATAAGAATTTTCTTCATCTTTGCATCAAGCGCGTGTAGTTTTTGCTTTGGTGTGTGTTTTTTTTCCTTGCTTGCAGGACTGGTGGGTCGATCAGCATGGCGCCTCCACCTGGCATGTACCAGCGAAGGTCTGGTACAAGGCCAAGAGATACACCGACTGGGCGCAGGAGTCTCTTTCCGGCCCAGTCGGTGTTGAGGATTTTTTTCGCCACCTTGTTACTTGCTTGCATTATTTAATGTTTGCTTGGAGTCGGTTTGATACTTTTAAGTCGCCGTAGCACTTTTTTTTGGGGGGGTTCTTTTCTTCTTGCTCGTTGCTGCTCAGGATTTTGAGGTGACCGCCCAAGACGTGGTGTGGGCCAACAAGGTGAGATCTCAGGATGTGCTGTTCCCAGTTGTTTGTTTGCTTTTTTTTTTTGGGGGGGTTGCTTTGTTTTTGCTGACCTTTTGATTGTGTTGTTTTTGCCAGCGGCGCCATTTACGACCCGATGGCAAAATGCAAATTTCATCTTCTTGTGATGAAGATGCTACGCCACATGTGGGTTGGGTGGGGGTGGGGTGGGGATGTTAACGTCCATGTTAACTTGCGTCACATGCACAACTTGCGTCACGTCACTGGGTTGGGGTGGGGTGGGGATGTTAACGTCCATGTTAACTTGCGTCACATGCACAACTTGCGTCACGTCACTGGGGTGGGGTGGGGATGTTAACGTCCATGTGAACTTGCGTCACATGCACAACTTGCGTCACGTTACTGGGTTGGGGTGGGGTGGGGATGTTAACGTCCATGTTAACTTGCGTCACATGCACAACTTGCGTCACGTCACTGGGTTGGGGTGGGGTGGGGATGTTAACGTCCATGTGAACTTGCGTCACATGCACAACTTGCGTCACGTCACTGGGTTGGGGTGGGGTGGGGATGTTAACGTCCATGTTAACTTGCGTCACATGCACAACTTGCGTCACGTCACTGGGTTGGGGTGGGGTGGGGATGTTAACGTCCATGTTAACTTGCGTCACATGCACAACTTGCGTCACGTCACTGGGGTGGGGTGGGGATGTTAACGTCCATGTGAACTTGCGTCACATGCACAACTTGCGTCACGTTACTGGGTTGGGGTGGGGTGGGGATGTTAACGTCCATGTTAACTTGCGTCACATGCACAACTTGCGTCACGTCACTGGGTTGGGTGGGGGAAACGTCCATGTTAACTTGCTTGAGCGTATGCAACGTCCATGTTAACTTGCGTCAGCGTCACGTGGGTTGGGGTGGGGTGGGGATGTTAACGTCCATGTTAACTTGCGTCAGATGCACAACTTGCGTCACGTCACTGGGTTGGGGTGGGGTGGGGATGTTAACGTCCATGTTAACTTGCGTCACATGCACAACTTGCGTCACGTCACTGGGTTGGGGTGGGGTGGGGATGTTAACGTCCATGTTAACTTGCGTCAGATGCACAACTTGCGTCACGTCACTGGGTTGGGGTGGGGTGGGGATGTTAACGTCCATGTTAACTTGCGTCACATGCATAACTTGGGTCACGCTGAACAACTTGCAAGGGTGAGTTGAAAAATGAGTTATGCTGACTGACTGGTGGAACAGAGGTGACTGAATCTGGCCAACAGAAGAAAAAAAAACAATAATTTTTCTCAGACGTGTTGAAAATCGATTAACGTTCCACACGAAACGCACTTTTGAGAGCAGGCCCCAGTGGAACTACGACTTGACGTTTTTATCACGATTTTACAAAACCTTGCAAATACCATGATTTTGTGAACGAAGCATCATGAAAAATCAATGAATTACCCCGGGTCGCTAACTGTGCCGTAGCCTTGTTTTTGGCATCCATCTGTTTCTGAGGTCCTTGGGCCGCCGCCACATCGTAAGGGTTTTCTGCAACAGGCGGCAGCATATTTTGCAAAGAGTGTTTTTTTTTTTGGGGGGGGTTGTTCGTTTGTTTGTGTGTGCGCGTGCGTTCGCATGTGTTTGTGTGTGCTGTAGCATTTTTGAAGGCGGTATCATCGTCGCGATGAAGCGGCGATTGCTTTGGCAGGCCTTTGGTGACAATGTGCATTGATATATTACAGATGTGCTTGTTTGTATCTAGCATTCACTTTCTAGTTAATCATGCCTTTATCTATCTATCTATCTATCTATCTACCTACCTAATCTATCTATCTATCTATCTATCTATCTATCTATCTATCTATCTATCTATCTATCTATCTATCTATCTATCTATCTATCTATCTACGTATCTATATGTTCATGAATTTGTTTATCTCTCTATTTATCTGTCTATCTATCTACTTATCTGTCTGTTCATGAATTTGTTTGTGTTGATTTGTCTTTATTCTTATATATATATATATACATGTTTAAAAATATCTATAAATTTGAATATGTATAGTAAAGACGGTTCTTCGCTTTTGGGAGGTGGCTTTCAAAAGAAAAGCCGTAAAGCCTCAAGTATGTCTGCAACTTAGGCTGTTTGTTGTTGTTTTTGTGCTTTAGGATGCCGGGTTTGTGCAGATGTAACTTTGCTTTACATATTCAAGTTTCTGGTCACCAACCGTATGACATTTTTTTCTATTGCCAGGAGACAGCCGATGTTTAATTTTCTTTGTCGCCAAGCGGGGTTCTCAGTTTTACCTGGGTGCGATGTTCGATTCTTTAATGCACATATGAAACGTTTTTGTTGTTCGTTTTTGCCTTTTTTCTGAGTGTTTGGCGGTTTAGCTTTGGCCACATTGTTTCTTTCTCGCGCTATGCCAGGTGCAGTTAGCGAGCAAAGAGATTGGGGCTGCGGCAGCGTCTTTGCCTCGGAGGAAAGGTTTGGAATTGGAAGCCAGTGGAGATTCCTTTTTTTATAACTGAAAGGGTCCTAGTTTCGATCTGTTGCGTGTTGAATGTAGATGATTGTTCTGTTTTGCAATATTTGGGATCTTGCACCTAGATTCAAAAATCCACCACCAAAAAAAAGAAGACAAAGGTCGAGAATGCCTCCTAGCCAGGACATAATTCGGATCGCCCGCGACCTGCACTATGTAACCCAAGGTCTGAAAATAATGCTCTGGAACTTCAATTTTCTCACGCCCATCTTCACCAGGCTGAAAGCCGCTCATGACCTAAAGAGCGTTGTGAAGGATATGATTCCTCCTCTGTTGGCTTTCTTTGCTGAAGTTATGGGACAAGAGTGGAGCGCGCCGCGGATGGCAGCTGGCACGCGTGAGATATTTGAGAGGCTAGAGCGTGAGTGCAGAGACGCGGGCGTAAGCGCAGTGATCAGCCAATGGATAATGGGAGAGAGGCCTATGGCCCTGGAATTCTTGGAGTTTTTGACACAGAGGAATATTGTTGGAATTTTCCAAAAGGGGGAAAATAACTACCTACTGATATTCCGCAATGTCGAAGGCTCCCTTAAGCTGGCATATTATCTGACCCATATCATTGGCGAAAAACTGCGCACGATGGAAATCCCACAACGCATCAGCTATGACAACAAAAAGCCTGCAATCTTACAGGGCAGAGGCAAAGCACAGGATGGCAACAAAGGACGAGGAAAAGGAAAAGGAAAGGCGCAGGAAGGCAACAAAGGAGGTAAAGGAAAACATCGCAGCCGTAGCCCCCGCCACCTGAGCCCGGTAGGCGCAGCCCCACCTGCTGATGCGCACCCTCGCCCCGAAGCAGCTGGGCCCCGCCCACCCCCAAGCTAGTGGCTATATCTAGGTAGAAAAGGAACACCACGCTACCTCTTTGAAATTTGCAAATGACGGTTCTCACCTGGTTCTGTTTAAATTGATTAGTTTTTCTAGAGGGCATCAAGGTCACTTAAGTTGTCACCTAAGTATTCCCGTTTGGTTCCCTTTTTACGTCAATGTCTTCAACCCTTTTTCAAAGAGGTAGCTGTAGCACAGCGAAGGGGGTGCCTCGGCCTGGGGGAACAGAAAACAACTCTGTTTCAACCTCTCTTCGGAATGATCCTTTTGAGATTGTGCATTGTGTTTAAGCTTCAATCGCGCAGATTTTGATGGACAAAGCTGGCAAAAAAAAGATTCTGTTGACCCTTTGCAGCAGGAGATGCACTCCATTCAGCTGATCAGTCATTCGATTTCAGCAAACATGACTTGTTGGACTTGGCTAGGATCAGTAATCGAATGTAGCAATATGATGATGTGCATTCTTTTTTCTTTGCAACGTGTTGTTTGTCAAAGAGCTTCATGAGCATACCTTTCAGGATTGGATTTGCAACATCAATGTGCAGTGTGAAGGTACAAGAGAAATAACTGGACTTACAAAACCTATAACTACAACAGAACGTAACATTACTTCAGGTTAACTTCCCCCAAAAAAGTGCAAAGCTCCTAAGTCCATCTTAAGTGAAGGCACATGTATGGAAGCTTACATTTTTGGAGTTTGGTTTGTTTGGAACTTACATTGAGCCTCAAGGTATTTTGCGATGCTGAGCAATATTGTGTGCTGCTTGCGTGTGTTGATTGTTTGCAGTGTGTTTCTTCAAGCGCTTTTAAAGGGTGTTGTTCGCTCTCTTCTTTGCTCCGCACTTCGCAGTGGCCTGAGCAGAGTGTTTTTGTTTTTGCTTTTGGATGATGTTTTCGTTTCTCGAGCACTTGTCGATTGCCTCTGAAGTTCTAGCAGTCAAGTTTTACATTGCAATTTTTTGATGTGCGTTTATATCTATATATACATATATCATATCTATACATCTACATCTATATCTTTATCTATATCTATATCTATATATGTATATATCTATATCTATATCTATATATGTATATATCTATCTATACATATATATATATATCTCTCTCTCTCTATCTATATCTATATATATATATCTCTCTCTATCTATATACTCTGAGGTAAAAGTAGATGGCTCAGAATCTTGAGTTGCGCCATCTATGTCAAAAAAAATGGGGGATAGATGGCTCAACTCCCTTTAAAACAGGGCAGTTGAGCCATCTATGTCCCTAAAAATGACATATTTTTTGCAATCTTCTGCGCTGGTTTCTCCCCATTTTTTTTTCTCAACATCAAGCTGCTTTTTTGGGGCATAGATGGCGCAACTCCCGGGGTTGCGCCATCTATGTGGGCATTCCCAGCCTGATTTTGGCGAAATGACGGAAGTTATTTTGAGCCAGCAAAGGCCGAGACGCTTTAAAACCCAACTTTAACAAGTGACCTGAGGAACCGTTTTTGCCGTCAAGAAACGGTTCCTCAGGTCACCTGTTAAAATTTGGTTTTAAAGTGTCTCGACCTTTGCTGGCAAAATGACGGAAGTTGCGCCATCTATGTCCCAAAAAGGGACAACTCTGATGTCTTTCCTGGTGGTTTTGCCTCCTGTCTGGGAACAACTCTGATGTCTTTCCTGGTGGTTTTGCCTTCTGCCTGGGGATAACTCTGATCGATGTGGCATATTTTGGTTAGGTTGGTTGATGGATGTCGGGAGATATGAGGGAGTTGCGCCATCTATGTGGGCATTCCCAGCCTGATTTTGGCGAATGTAGTGGAGTGGCAGTTGCGCCATCTACCTTTTCATTTTAAAGTAGGGCGATTTTTTTTTCAATTGGCGGACCTCGTTTTATGTTCCAGCTAAAATAGCGCCGTTTTCTTTCTCAGCGCGCGGTGCCATCTTATGGGTATTTGGGTTTTTGAGTTGAGCCATCTACTTTTTACCTTAGTGTATATATATATATATGTATATATATATATATCTGTATATCTATATATCTATATATGTATATATCTGTCTCTCTCTTTCTATCTATCTATCTATCTAATCTAACCTAATCTAATCCAATCTAGTCTAATCTAAATCTAAGCTAAATCTAATCTAATCTAATCTAACCTAAATCTAATCTAATCTCATCTCATCTCATCTCATGTCGTCTCGTCTCATCTCATCTCATCTCATCTCATCTCATCTCATCTCTCTCTCTCTCTCTATGTGTACTCTCTATATTATCTTTCCTTCCCATCATACTGTTGCCCACTTGGAAGTTAGAAGATCCACTTAATCCCACTTGGTCACTGAGGGCCAGCAGCTTGCTGGGGTTGAAGCGCGTTCATGTGCCCATGGTTGTGGTCGGCAAGAATTTAGGCAGCTTGGAAGCAGGCAAATACATTGACATTTAGCCACCCACTCTTTGGGGCAATCGTTTTGAGAAACCGCTGCACCTTCAGCACATTGTGCAATGGTTTGAACAGGACATTTGGACCTTGGTTCGTACTGTACCTGATCTCCGCTGCAATCTTTGGGGCGATCCCTGGCAGCGTGAAGATTTCTCCATGGCAAACTTAGGCCCCTTTTGGACAGCCTTGCTAGAAACCGTGATCTTGAAGGCTGGCCCGCTGATGGGAGAAGGTTGCAGCAGCTTGATGTAGCCAGCCGGTAGCCCCAATCTTCCGAGTCGAAACCTCAAAGGAGAAAAAATAGGTTTGGACAGGTTTGGGTCAAAACCTTGGCGCCGTTCAATGGACGTTCATTGATAGGGTTTGAATGATTTGATACATCCCCAAATGAGAAGAATATCTCAGGGGTTAGGTGCCCCAGAAGCTTCCCATTGTTGTGCGCAGGCACCCTTAAACCCACGGACACTTTTCTCGCTGCTTATTGGTGTGCTGGGCAGCACCCTCTATGCAATGGGAGATGCCAACTCAGAACCTTGGTCAGTGCAAGTGTGGTGGATGGCTTGGTGTTTTCATTTTTTTGGTTCTCTCTTCCCATTTTTTCAACAATTATTCAGAATCAGAATCCTCATGATCAAGAGCGTCCAAAGCTAAGAAACAGAACCAGTTTCAGCTATGTTTGGATACTTTTTCGACATCCTAGTGATTTATTGAAGGCCAGCAACAGACGACAGTGTTGCAGTTTACCCCGTGCGCCCAAAAATGCAAGACGAAGTGGCAACGCAAGTCTTTTGCTCCCGTTGAACCTAGGACTTAGAAGGCAACTTGGCCGACAGTGGGAGTGGTGGGGAAGAGTGAAGCTTGGCAGTAGAAGTGACACATCCCATTGGGATCTGAAAGCTCCAGGTCTATTCTGGGTTGGCAGCAATGCTCTGCTGGTGGCTTTCACTTCCGTCTCTGAAAAGTATGTGGTGCGGAATGTGGATCAGGCTGCTAGGCAACGGAAATGTGTCAAGGCTTCGCGTCCTGTTCAGTCCTGAAAAAGCGGAAATTCCAATTCATCAGCATGTGAGATATGTGAGGCCCGTCATTGATGTGACAAATCCAGTAACAAGTCATGCTCCACCTTGTGGCATGACAAAACAATATCCCAAGCAAAAGGGCTTATCCTTGGGTCTTTTCCAGTCCAAGCTAAGGCTGCCCTGGGTTTCAGCTTGTATCGAACCTTGCAAAGCAAGATGTCACCTGCACGGCTTTCAGCTGGACTTTCCAGGTTCGAATCATTGAACTGCGTGGGTTGGTGTGATGCCTTGCCGGTGATAAGGGCACTGCTTCATTCTCTTCGTTTTAGCCAGTTGAAGCAGATCACCTTTCACACCACGCGCACATATCACACCGCGCGCACATACTGATAAATTCGTTGGTTAGGACGATGATCCCCAAAACCAATATTGTTCAGGGGGAACCACCAAGCAGAGGAGATACCGCATCAGTTGTTCGCAAATCTTCTTGGGGATCTGTGGCTGAGGAAATGCTGTGGCCATTCCACTGCTATGGATACTGATGACAGTTGGCGACTGGGCTTCAGCAGATTTATGTCTGAGAAAGGTTCCCTTTCGGCCCTTTCCTGTTGGAGTTGTGGCTTTTGTGGCCACACCAAGCCGATTTGTCTCACCGGGGCGACCTGGATGGGGTTGAGGTTATAAGGCTCTGAGGGCCTGCCCCGAGGTATGGAAAACTTTGGTGGTGCCCTGGAAGCCTTCAGTAAGGCAAGTAGCTTTTGCTGGAGTGTCTCTTGGATTGATATTGATGGAGAGAGTGCTGGCAGCTCTGGTGGATTGCTGGATTATTATCAAGGAGTTGTGGAGGATAAGCCTTGCGCACAGCTATCATTACACCTATATGCAGGGTTCAAAAGATGTTCAAATGTGGAGCGTAAATTGGCATGGTCGCTCACTCAGGTGTTTCATTTTGACCCATCGTCAGACCATGAATCTCAGAAGTGTCAAGGGCTCATTTCTTATTCGCAGCTGTTAGCCTCCAAAATTGATGGTTGGTTTCAGCTTGAGAACCGACTTGCGAGCCATGCACGTTGGCAGCCGGAGAAATGCGGCCGCACTTCTTGAAACGCAACGCAGGTGAGGTGAATCTTCGGTGTGACCTGGTCCAATATAGGGGAATCATCCCGGTTTCACAATGGCTGAAAGGGAAATGATGGATGGAAATCAGCCACGCAACCGGAGGGTCCAAACAAAGTGGATTGGATAATTTATTTAATGAAATGAGTGGCATTACGGTGGCATTAATTATCACCACAAAGGACACCCACGGTTTCGCCCGCTTCACATCCAAATCATTCTGAGGTTGGGAATGGTCTTGGAGGACAGCTCAAAGATTCCCGTGTCCCTGCCGCACCGTGGTGCTTCTCGGGTCTTTCGGCATCTTTCTGTGCTTATTTCTGGGTCAGCAATCATCTGGCCTCGAGGGCTTGTCCGACAGAACCGAGCAAGACTGGAGATTGATGGGGAAAGACGCTTGGATCTCTAAAATTTCTCAAACCTGTCCAAATTCAGGAACTTCGGATTCGTAATTGCTTGTTGGCCAGTTTGGGCTATTTTGTTGTTGAATGGGATGCGCATCTGTGAACACACTGGAGAGATGCCGAACTCACAGGATCAGGATCTTCATCCCACCCAAGAAACCAGGAACTCAGATGATGTTTCTCAAGGACGGATAAAATTGGTTTGCTTCTTTTCATTCTGGCTCCCACCTGGTTTTTATACAACTTGGATCCTTTTTTGAATTGTCATGGTTAATGATGAGAAACGCATCCCACCATCCATCTTGACCATCACTGATGATCTTGATAAGTCCCGCCCAGGATATCAACTTTCGCAATGGATCTCTGAAGTACATGTCTAAGACAAAGATTTTTCCCTTCCGAACAGGGTGTCCTGAGGAATGCTCGAAGCTGCGTGCCTTGGGCCGAAGCGAAAACATGTTCACCGTTGACCCCTCTGATTTGGGTTGGTCTGAAAATTGGACACAAGAGGGCATACCCGGCATACCCCAGAATCTCAACGTTTCTCATCATTTCCTGCCTTAAAATATGTTGGAATGACATAGAAAGAATGTGCATAAATTTCTGTATCCTCCAAGTCTACCTCTATTTCTGCGGGGCATTTCACCAAACCCAAATCCATTCTTCATTGCCTGAATCCCTATTTTGGTTCTAGTATCCATTTCGAATGCCTGGTGAACTCCCCTCCCGTTGCTGGACCATTGAGTTGTCAGGTGCAGCTGCAGCCTTGAAGCTGGAGGAGAGCGGTTGTTGACCGTTGGAGTTAAGGCTATGGAAAATCCATGTGTATAGTAACCACCAAAAAGATAGAACAGTAAAAATCCGACGAAAATAGTGATACGTCTGATACATTTACGATACATCACTTTTCTACTTTTCCGGGGCTGCTATAGTATGGAAATGTCTTGCAAGTACCAATGTAAATATGTATACGATATACATGCCAATGTAGAGATAAGTCTAAGTATCGACTATCGACATAGATAGATATAAGCATATGAATACAACCATGACTTACAAGTACGCAGAGAACAGATATGATATACCGTGATAGCTTGTAGTCAGTCCTTTGGCATGCCGGGCGGTGTTTGGTGCCACTTTCCCACCAGCTCAGCCACAACTGGACAGGACACGTACTTTCGGACAGGCACCCTGTGGAGTTTGTCTGGAAGACATTTGCAGAATGCCTCACAGATTGAGCAAAAGATCCGGGCAGAATCCGTGCCACGAGACTTCGGAACTTCTTTTGATACATGGCAGGTGTGGTGGATCCAGAGCATGACCTGTGGGTCAAGTCATTGGGTAACCCAACATTTGATGGGTTAGTACTTTTAATGACCTCTACCATCCAACATTTCCCGTGCTTTCATGATATTTCGCCTACAATCAATCCCAACCTAGCCAGTGGTCGCATTATCCGTAAACCATTATGGCAATCCCAAAAGGATCGAGCCACTTCGATCTACCATTGAAATTTAGAGATGGAACTTACTACTGTAAATTCTATTTCATTTTGGTGTCCATTAATGTTGCTATTACTATTAGAGTTAATGTATGAGATTATATATTCATTGTTATTTTTTGGCATCGCCATGTCATCATCATCAAACCATCACATCATCACATCATCGCATCATCGCATCATCGCATCATCGCATCATCATCATCATCATCATCATCATCATCAAAATCAGTATTTTTTAATCATTAGTTTCTATTTAATTCTTGCGTCTTACTATTGCCATACATCAGTATTGTCATTATATTGCGAACTACTATCACCATTTTCGTTGCTATTAATTACTATTAAGTATCATCAATTGCTATTAATTGCTCTGAAGTACAACTGACTACTACTAACTACAAATTACAATTAATTACTGTGATTTACCCTTTCTTACTATTGGTGACTCATATCACCAACGTTACTGATGACAATCATGATTACTGAACGTAATCTTACTGATAAATTACAACTGAACTCTACTGATACTAAGAACAGACAATCATAGTAAATGACTACCAGATGATGACTTATGGTGACGATCATATTACGTTACTGTCCAAAAAAGATCGCCATCCAAGGACCTGGTGGAATCCGAGATCATGCGCGAGGTACAGGAACTACCCTTTGCGCTGGAGTGGCTCGGTGACCAATTCCGCGAGGGCAAAATGGCTGGAAGTATGATGAACACCTGGTTGGTTGATCACTTTTTTTGATAGTTATTGATGTTTATACAATTGTTGATGAAAACGGAATTGGTATTGATTGATAATGGTTTGTGATGTTTGTCGATCTGTGTTGATCTTTGATACTTGTTTGTTGTGCCTTGTAGATTGCATTTTATTCTGCAGGCAAAACTAAACCAAGCGCCGCCACTACAGGAAAGTAGACAACCCCCTGAAGACAGGACTGCTCCAGAGGGGACCGATCCAACTTCCAAAGGGCCACGTGTTGTGGTCATATTTGGTCCACCGGGTTCAGCTAAGGCATATGATGTTTTACCACCAGCAAAAATCCATGCACCTTTCTTTGTCGTACGACTGCTGCTGGACAGAAGAGGAGGTTCAGAACTTTCAACTGGTCTTTCGAAGATGGTTGGGCCAAACGCGCTTCAATCTTCACTTGCACTTCACTCACTTGGAATGCTGGTTGGAAAGGCTGGCACACCAAACTTTGCAACGGCACTAAGTCATTACTGTAGGTTTCATGGCGAGAGTCAGCCTGCATTAGCCATGCGCTGTCAGCCCTGCTGGTTAATCACTGTGGTTGTGACCCGCTTAATAATGTGAAAGAAACCAATGAAGACAAAAGTAACCAAAGTTCTTTTGCTAACACATGTTTTATCGTTAGTGTTTACTGCACTCAAATATGTGTTTGTCTATTTACATACGCTCGCACATACTGTATATACACTGTATGTGTGTATATATATATATATGTACATGCACATGTATATATTGCGTGTAACTTATTGATATAGATATAGATATAGATGTAGATATAGATACGGATAGATGCATATATGATAATATATGTATATATCGACTCACACATGCCTTCCACCTTGGAGGTTCAATTCTTTGACCATCATCGCAGTGGTGGATTCCGCCGCTCAGAGAGAGCTCCTGCGATGGAATCATCAGCTGAACGAACTGCTGCGGAGCCATGACATCCCAGTGCTGGTGCAAAGAGAAGATCAGATGCTCGAGAAGATCAGTGCTGGTAGGGTCAAACTGGGCAAAAACGAACGGTTGAAATTGGTTTGATGATGCTTGATGTATAGATTATGGTCAAAAGTCCAGTGGGCTTGGAGTTTTGCTCCAAGATTTTAAAAATACCTTTTATAAGGAGACTTTGGAGTGGAACTCTCTTCGATGATTTTTGACCAGTACACTGTATACTCTACGTGGTGGTTCACCTCAGTTCGTAGGTGGGTTACAACCCCAGTTACAAGTCGGATAAGTAGGGTTTGTCCACTTACAACTGGGGTTCGAACCCACATACTACTTGGGTGAGCCACCAAGTATGTTAAATTAAAGCTCATTCTAGCCAATCTTGACAATCTTGATCTCAGAGTTCGTCAGGCTGCGTGTGTTGTCGATCCAGGATGCCCTTTCACATGACCGTGCTGGGCATATATCTTGGCAAAGAGTTCTCTCCGCTGCCCCGCGACCACATGGAACTCTTTGGAGAAGCGATCTGCGAAAAAGTCGCTGAAGCTGCTGGGATGAGATCTGTCGAAATACCCCGGTTTATAATGGCCTTATCTCAGGGTGTTTGATGGTGAAAAATCAGAATTCAATAGAATTCACCTATATGGGGATTGGCAATCTGGATGAAAATCCACCCTACAGACATCAACAGACCAAGTACGATTTACCAGATTACTAGCAGATTACTAGATGTATCATTGACTGTATCATGATGATTCCCATCCCTTACCGAGGTCTCGCAGGCTCATGGCACCTTCGGTACCACTGCAACGGACCCGGTGGTGCTGAATTTTGTGCCTGAAGTTAGCAGCTGAGATTGAAGGTAGACCACATCGTGTTGACATATTATGCGTAGGGTCTGAAGTTGCCCTGAATTTCACTTACCATTCTGCATGTATATAATTTGTTTTTTTGACCAGTGCTCTGCATTTGGGGGCCCGTTTTGTGTTTTTTTGTGTGTTGTTTCTGCTGAGCCAAGCAGCCGAGTCGTACCAAAGCCGTTGGTACCTCCAAAATGGTGAGACCTGCATCCAAAGTTCATGACTGGCGGAAGCCTATCAGCAATGGAGGTTGTGGCTGTGCTGGTGGCTGTGCTGGTGGCTGGGGTGCGTTGGTGCTGCTGATCTACAAGGACACTCAGACATACCCAGATCTGCAGAAAACCAAACTTCGGCTGCGACATGGACGTCGAGGTGGAGGGGGAGAGGGGCTGAGCTGCTGCGAGGAAAAAGGGCGGACAAAAAATCGGTCGTCGTTGCGATTTTGTTTGCCAGCTTGGGAATTTAAATAGTGCAAACTCAACACAGAGAATGGGTCCCTTTCTCCTCATTCCCTTGGGGCCATGGTTGCAACTGGCCCTGGGCTTCATAGCTGACATGATCCCGTACTGGAGGTTGTGATTATAGATTATATCATAATTATATCTCTATTTGCAGTATCTATTTGCAGTATTGTTTTCCACCCCACCTGTGACAACATACTACGTGTCATTCAACTCTTATGCTTTGCAATGTGCTTCCAAACATCGTTGTATAACCAACCTCTCTCAGAATTGGTCACACGGAAAATTTGCAGGAACTCCATGCAAACGCCATGCATTATGTTTATTTTTTACATGGATTTTGGTTGGATGGTCAAGCTTTCCTGGATTGTATGTTCGAGATTTTTGAGGAACATTTGCCCAGTGAGAAGATCATAACTCAGGTTTTTGCAGCATCGACTGTCTTCAGTGCAGCGGCTGGTCTCTTCATCTTTACGCTGCAAGGGCGGGTGAGCGCAACGAAGCACGTCAGCATGACATGGTGAGGTCTCCACCTATGTTGAAACCTGCATTTGATGGGAAAGGTTGATGAGTCCCTCCAGCTATATCATTCCTACGTTGGAGTTTGGTGACTTGAGCCGGATCATGCTAGGTCTATCTAGAGTCTATCTAAGTCTCTTAAACTATGTCAGACTATGAGCATCAACTAAATGTTCAAAAAAAAAAGAAGTTTCATTTGGCATTTTTCAATCAAGATCTTCATCCACTCCGGGGATTCCCCAGCCTTTACACAAGGACCACCCAAATTGCGAGTTTGTGCTACAAGTTGGCCACAACCGTTCTGTCCCTGGTGGTCTTCCCCCAGGCGTGTGAATCGATGCAGCATCAACGAGCAACGAGAGTCTCACTTAAGTCAGAGTTGTGGCAACCATCAGCTTGGTGCGCCGATGTGTGCCAGTATATTATAGATAGGCCACAATTATTTCACATATTGTGAGATTTTTTCTGCTACTGTCCCGGAGTTGCAATATGTTGCAATTACCATTGAATGATTTGAGGCCAGGAAGGATCTGGGCTGGATGGCGGTTTTGGGCTACAGCCTCTCTACCTTGAGTGTGGCCTTGTATGTGCTGCTTGGCTCAGTTCATGGTGTTTCTCTGCTGTTGGGACCTGGATAGCCAAGCGGAGGTTTCCTAAAATGGGGGGTATCCCCAAAACCATGGGTTTCAGAAAATGGTGTAATTTTTGGATGAGTTAAATTGGGGTTACCCTCATTTTAGGAACCGCTAAGTCCGCTAAGTTTCTTGTTTTTCGGGTGCCTACTTGCAGAAGAGTCCAACAGATGAACACACACACACAAACGCGCTACTGTACCATTTGATATATCATATCTGATGGACATTGGCTTTTGGTCAATTTTGTTTTTGAATCTTTTTGTTCCCAGTTTTATCCCCACCGTAGTCCCCACCTGAGGTTCCTCCCAGCCCTTCCAGCCAAGCGCGTGGCGACGAAGAATGCCGGTCAAAGTCCTCGGATTAAACCGTGAGAGGCGATGGCCACTGTAGGCCAGGCCATTGAATTTGGGGGGATTTACTGATATTTACATTGAATTTACATTGATTTTTACTGATATTTACTGTCTGTGGGAAAATCTGGGTGTTTCCAATTAGGGAAACCCTGGCTGTTTCCGAACATCTGAAGGGAATTGAAATTTGCTGGAGGGGAATTGTGTTTGCAAATGTGACTGTCTCAACTACCGAAATCCATTATGTTGGAGTGTCCTTTGTGCGTGATTATGCTCATCCTGGACTATTGATAGCACAGATAATTGGAACACCCACCCCCTACCCAAGACCTGAACTTCGGGGATATTTCATCTACTCCAGTGATAATGATCTTGCGAAATCAATGTGGTGATGGGTCATGTTGGGTCAATATTTCGTGGGATTTTTGTTGGAGGATGAACATCCAATACATCTACAAGCAAGCAACACAAGAATGGTATCCCTAATGCAATGCTTTTCCCCACAGTTTCCAATGTTCGACATGGCGATTTCCACTCGATCTCCCAAAATTTGCCGCCAAAACCGGGGCCCAGACTTCTGACCAACGCCAGGCGAGAGCTGCTTTGAGCCACCTCAGCCTGAAAGGTAGGCGAAGGGGGCAGAGATTCAGTTGTCGCACGGAAAAAGTCGAACTGAAATGGTCAGGAGATGTGCTGAGATCATGGAAGACCTGCAAATGTCCGATCAGTTTCCATGGAATTGAGAGGTTTTTTGTGCCTTCTGCAGCTGTTTTTGAAAGCTGCGAGCAACACGCGCTTTGCCCCGTCCTTTTCCTGTCCTCACCATGGCCCGTCTTGCAGCTGTGTGCGTCTTGGCGGCTGTCGCCTGCCTCCTGAACAGCATGGCCTTCGTGCCAGCTCCGGAAAGCCGAGCCCGTGCCATGGACACAGGAGCCGTGGCAGCGGCAGCTGGTGTCATGGCTGTTGGCGCACCACAGAATGCGGAAGCCTTCGTCTTCAAGGGTATCTTTGGCAGCCAACCCCGGGAATCATGTAGCTGAGTGCGGGCGACCTGCAGTTTCTTCACGTGGTTTTTCCCCTAATCAGTTGGTGCTGATGTAGAACACCCCAGAATGCCGGTTTGATAAGCAAGGTGTTCACCTGTGGCCAAATAGACGATCATTATTTTATTGATTAATTAGTTTAGGCAAACTATGAGATATCGAGGCAAAGCACATGTACTGTAGTAGACGCTGCATGATCAAACATCTGATCCAAAGCTGGTTAGGATCCTCTACCTATGTAATCCGTGTGCCTTGGTCCCTCAACCTCAACTGATCACTGCAAGTCACGAGCCCTGCCAAGGCAAGGAGTACTTCGATGTTTTCTACGGTGCCTTGTCATTCTGTCTGGCAATGAGGGTTGGTATGAGATGCGCAATTCCTTGTTTCATTAATACATTGAGATCATCTTCAATCCCTCAGCTGGACACAGGGCCCTGGAGCATTGACTTGGGACAGATAGTAAAACAGAGATCAGCAGGTGGTCAGCAGGTCGTTAGCAGGTCATTATTCCGGAATCCTCTGATTGAAACTCATGGGCCATTGCCATAGGCGGAACACTATCATGTGTCCCAGAATTGGATGTGGCGAGGCATTGAGCCACTGGCCTGGGCCTTCTGCGGCTTCGTCATCGTCTACTACGGCGCCGTGCTGAAGAACGCTGCCACCAAGCCACCCTTCGGCAATCATGGCCATAAATGGAGCTCTATAGGTTTACAGCTGGGATTTTTATTTTCCATGATTACCAGATTTATCACCCGAGAATCATCATAAATCATTCCAGCAACTGGGTTTATTTGGTATTTCTAGCGCTACTGCAGCATCCAGGTTTTCTTGATGATGACGATGATGCTGATGACATTGTTTTGGCGGGCCTGTCGTGATCTTGGTTTGTTTGTGCGTGCAGGTACAACATCCCAGTCGACAAGACCAGGTCACCCAAGGTGGGCGGCTTCCAGGGCAAGGTGCCAAACTCAGTCGCAGCTGTTACTTTGAAGGCAATGGATCTTCCTAAAATCAGGGAAGGTGGTCACTTCAAGAGATTGGGGTGATGGTGCCGAGGAAATCGAGAACAGTGAGGACATGGAGAAGTTTTACAAGCCCAGCTGAGGAGCTCCCAGGGCTGGTGACAAGGGGCCACCACAAAAGATGCGGGCTTTACAAGAGCATGGCTTCAAGTCAAAGGAATTGAATTATGCTGTGATGTGGCATGCCGCAGGAGATCGAGAACCGCACAGACGGCGCAAGTGGCGTCCTGTGGGACCGATGGACTACAGCGGGGTTTTAAAACTGGTGCAAGTGAAGCTGCTAGGGCGTTTGAAGGCCAGAACCTCTGGCGTTTTAGGAAGGCATGGAAGTGGCATGGCATCCACCAGTTGGCTGGAGATAAATTCCTATAATTTCCAGTTCTTTTCCGTTTGCACAAGTGTGATGCTGTGCGACAGATTGGATCAAAGTGAATCAGTTTACTCCGATCTATTAGCGTTCTTCCCGCAGCTGTTTTTGAAAGCTGCAAGCTGCTTTGCGCTTTGCCCCGTCCTTTTCCTGTCCTCACCATGGCCCGTCTTGCAGCTGTGTGCGTCTTGGCGGCTGTCGCCTGCCTCCTGAACAGCATGGCCTTCGTGCCAGCTCCGGAAAGCCGAGCCCGTGCCATGGACACGGGAGCCATGGCAGCGGCAGCTGGTGTCATGGCTGTTGGCGCACCACAGAATGCGGAAGCCTTCGTCTTCAAGGGTAGCTTTGCTGCCTCCAGCAGAATTGAAACTGCCAATTCTGGCCAAATTGGCTTTAAGACCAAATCTTTCCAAATCTCCAAGGATAGTGGTCTATTGGAGGTTGCACGACCTCACCATTTTTGAGAATTCGAGGAGGAAATATCACAGTACAGATGTAAGGGGGATCAAAAATCCGGAAACAAGAGATCAGTGCAAGTGCTTTCCACTTTGGTTGGCGAATAGAGACATGGACATCTTTCACTTCCATGCATATTCATGAAATCACAAACCAGATTTGGTTTTAGGCCCGAAGCTGCACGCCCCATCTCACCCTGGCATTCTTTTTTGCATAGCCTTGACTTGATGGTGCAGTGTGGAATGAGCAATCCGGAAATTTAATAAGACGACCACCATGAATATAATCACAAACTGCTTAAAGGCAGATTTGGTGCAGAAAAGCCAAGCCGTTGGTTATGCTTTCAGGCTTTTCTGTTATGATACATTTTGGATCATTGTAGCACTAAAGCAAGGCAAGACAATGCTTTCATGCCACAGTAGGAGTTCAGAAGTCAAGTTGCTCACGTGAACCCACTTTCTGTTTACTTGCACGAGGTTGGCCACTAGAATCCTGTCCATGATAGGCAACTGGATTACTGCGGTGTTTGGCTCATTGCCGACCCGGCTTGCCCTTTCCAGGCAAGGAGTACTTCGACGTCTTCTACGGTATCTGGGCTGCATCAGGATGGCGCTCAGATTTTACGTTGGCTCCTAGCTGCAAACACTGAGGCATTGAACCATTGGCATGGGCCTTCTGTGGCTTCGTCTGGGAACCCGGAGCCAGGAGAGAACGCGCGCAAGTCGTTGGGTGCAATGATTGCTTGATCTATGATGATCTATGATGATCTATGATCATATATCAGAATCCATGCCCATTTCCTTTCGCATTCCTTGCAGATGTGGAAGCAAAATGAAGCAAACCTGCTTGGGACATTTACAGTAGTTAGCGATTCTGAGGTCATCGTCTACTATGGCGCTGTGCTGAAGAACGCCGCCACCAAGCCGCTCAGTGGCAGCAGCGACTTTTCCACTTTGGTTGGTTGGTGTGTGTGTTTTGTTTGCTCGGTTTGGTTATGTTAGATCGTTGGTAGTTAGTTTTTTTTTCAGGGTTTTCGAGGGGGGAAGCAGTGGAGATGCAAGTCTTTGCGGATGATTCCGATCCGATGACATTTCCGCGTCCCGGCAGCAGGTACAACATCCCCGTCGACAAGAACAGGTCACCCAAGGTGGGCGGCTTCCAGGGCAAGGTGCCAAACTCAGTCGCAGCTGTCACTTTGAAGGCAATGGATCTTCCTGAAATCAGGGAAGGTTTGTCACTTCAAGAGATTGGGGTGATGGTGCCGAGGAAATCGAGAACAACGAGGACATGGAGAAGTTTTACAAGCCCAGCTGAGCTTCTCAGGCTTGGACATGGCTGGGAGATAAGTGGATGGTGTGTGACGGCAAGTGTCAAAAATCCTTACCTCCTAGCCCCTCGCCCCCCCCCTTCCCTATCAGAAGACATAGGGAATGTTTTGTTCTTTTGATTGAGGAGTGTAGCGACTTCCGTGCGCTTGTCAATAGGAACATGCTTTGTTGCATTCCTGTCTTCATTTCTACTGCGTCCGATTGCTTTGATTATTCATTGCAACCACTGCAACCACCATGGCTATAGCGATTTTAAATATCATGAATCATGACTATTTCATTTTGGATTCTTCACTATGACTACCACAATTTTAGATTGTAACCCTACCATGCCAAGCTGCAAATGGCTGCAGGTGCTGTGACCTGTGGCACAGACGGCAACAAAACGCTTTAAAATGAGCGATTTTGCAGCGACAGGTCATTAGGACTGGAGGCTCTCGATATGGTTCAATTGTTCTTCGATTCAACATATTCCTTCCAGCTTTAAACTGTGCATTGCGCAGTTTGCTGCCAATGTCCGTTTAGAAAAGAATATATGATATATCTGGCACTCTTGGCCATGGCATGACATTCTCCTAATCTGGAAGGCGAAAGCTCCAGCTTTGCAGCACTGCAGACATTTTTGATCAGCTGCTAGCAGCCACGCGCTTTGTCCCGCCCTTTTCCTGTCCTCACCATGGCCCGTCTTGCAGCTGTGTGCGTCTTGGCGGCTGTCGCCTGCCTCCTGAACAGCATGGCCTTCGTGCCAGCTCCAGAAAGCCGAGCCCGTGCCATGGACACAGGAGCCGTAGCAGCGGCAGCTGGTGTCATGGCTGTTGGCGCACCACAGAATGCGGAAGCCTTCGTCTTCAAGGGTAGCTTTGGCGACACAAAATATGTTTGCACGTTTTTGCACCATATCTAAAAAGATGATCGACTCATCATTTCGGCTGCTGTTCTCAGAGTGATCATTTTTTTCTTAGAAATAATTACCTGCACCTGTATCTGAATAGTATTGGCGGCATAATGGAACATCGCCAACGACCATCCATGCCCACCCAATCACCATTGCTCTGATAGCTGCGGTGTTGAGCCTGTTGACCTAGTTCCTCCCGGGATTCCTTGGCTGCTCTGCTTGCGAGGCAAGGAGTACTTCGACGTCTTCTACGGTATCTGGGCTGCATCAGGATGGCGCTCAGATTTTACGTTGGCTCCTAGCTGCAAACACTGAGGCATTGAACCATTGGCATGGGCCTTCTGTGGCTTCGTCTGGGAACCCGGAGCCAGGAGAGAACGCGCGCAAGTCGTTGGGTGCAATGATTGCTTGACCTATGATGATCTATGATGATCTATGATCATATATCAGAATCCATGCCCATTTCCTTTCGCATTCCTTGCAGATGTGGAAGCAAACCTGCTTGGGACATTTAGTTGGCGATTCTGAGGTCATCGTCTACTATGGCGCTGTGCTGAAGAACGCCGCCACCAAGCCGCTCAGTGGCAGCAGCGACTTTTCCACTTTGGTTGGTTGGTGTGTGTGTTTTGTTTGCTCGGTTTGGTTATGTTAGATCGTTGGTAGTTAGTTTTTTTTTCAGGGTTTTCGAGGGGGGAAGCAGTGGAGATGCAAGTCTTTGCGGATGATTCCGATCCGATGACATTTCCGCGTCCCGGCAGCAGGTACAACATCCCCGTCGACAAGAACAGGTCACCCAAGGTGGGCGGCTTCCAGGGCAAGGTGCCAAACTCAGTCGCAGCTGTTACTTTGAAGGCAATGGATCTTCCTGAAATCAGGGAAGGTTTGTCACTTCAAGAGATTGGGGTGATGGTGCCGAGGAAATCGAGAACAATGAGGACATGGAGAAGTTTTACAAGCCCAGCTGAGCTTCTCAGGCTTGGACATGGCTGGGAGATAAGTGGATGCACTTGTTTTCGTTGTTTTTCTTGGGAGAGCGTGTCTTTCGCATGCAGACCGAACTAGTTGGGTGCATGAGGTGTCCAAGTCACCTATCCCTTGGTGGTCTGCAACAGATCAGGAGATTGCAATCCGGACGAGCTCACAGGCCGCGTGTGGCGTGACCTGTGGCCGACATGGCGCAAGAAAAGAGGGGTTAGATGCTGCGAGCTGTGTGACGATGCTCAGAAGCCATGAACGATGTTTGAGGGGGGCATTGTGGGACAGAGACAAGAGTTTGTCAACTTCTGAATTTAGGATGCTTGAGCTATCTTTAGTTTGCCCCTGTGTCCCCTAGCTCCACACATTTCTGTTTGATTCAAGGACTTTCCGAAGCTGTTTTTGAAAGCTGCTAGCAGCACATAGCCATGCGCTTTGTCCCGCCCTTTTCCTGTCCTCACCATGGCCCGTCTTGCAGCTGTGTGCGTCTTGGCGGCTGTCGCCTGCCTCCTGAACAGCATGGCCTTCGTGCCAGCTCCAGAAAGCCGAGCCCGTGCCATGGACACAGGAGCCGTAGCAGTGGCAGCTGGTGTCATGGCTGTTGGCGCACCACAGAATGCGGAAGCCTTCGTCTTCAAGGGTAGCTTTGCCAGCAATTTAGGAGAAACTGACAAGCCATGAGCCTACCTCTCGCTCGAATTTTTGGACAATCCAACCTCCCCACAGCCGAACCAAATATTGCAATTACTGGGGAACTGAGAGCATGACATTTGTATCAGCCCGTGCTGGCAGGCAAGGAGTATTTCGATGTCTTCTACGGTGCCTTGGTAGAGTGAACTTGGGAGGGGTGGACTGTAGGCCGTTGAACTAAACTGTGCTCACGCAAAGGGATCGCGGGTGGATACGGATGAGAAAGAGCGGATCCATTCGAGCTCCCGCACTCCTAACACAATTCGCGATACTTATACTATCTTATACTGATACTTGTTTGATTAGTGACTTGTAATTATGCTAGATCACATATGTAATTACAGCTGGATTTTTGCTAACAGAGTGTTGCAATGAGGAGCCAACAAGGCTTTGTAGAGCTGAGGAAGTTTGACCAATGAAGTTCCAGAGGGTTCGATTTCTTTGCGTTCATGACTGGTGCTCACAAGCATCGAGGGGAAACCGGGGATTGAACAAGGTTGGGATGATGCCTAGCCCGTTTGAGGTATTGAGCCATTGGCCTGGGCCTTCTGCGGATTCGTGGGGATGCTTAGGATCGAGTGGAACGCTTCCGTGACGGAATGTGACGGACCAACCTGCTCGAAATTGCCAAGGGAAAAGCTGCACGTGGCGACATGTTTGGAAGATGGTTTGCCAATAATTGGATGCGACAGTTTTGATCAGTTTTGAGCTTGAGGTCTTGACGCAATTTTTGTTAGGGTATCCATGGGAGTTGTTTGGTGGTCTGGACTCTTAATGGTGCCACCGATTCTTTCTCCATCTCTGGGGCTCTATTCAAAGGGGTGCTAATCAGAGTCTTTTTGCTAAATTATCTTAATTTATCTTGTTTTATGGTATTTTAAAATTGATGGAATTGGCCCCCCCAAAAATAGTTTTTTTTTTCCTGTGAAAACCTATTTTTTCTGCGTTGTGAGGTGTGGGAGGAGGTCGTTGAGCAGAAGGGTGCCCTGCCCCCTTCTAAAAGTAGTATTGGAAGCAAAACATCGGCCCCCCCCCAAAATATGTTTTTTATTTTTTATTTTATTTGTTTTATTTATTTTTATCTATTTATATATATATATTTTTATTTTAGATTAATTAAAATATGACAAATATTTTCCATTTTGGGCTACCTCAATGCATTTTGTTGCTTGTTCGTAGCCAAATTGCCTCTGACCTTTGCAAAGTTGAATAGCATCCCTTTGAATAGGGCCAGGGGGCCTTTGAATGACCGATGCGGCTCAACGAGGTCATTGTCTACTACGGTGCGGTGTTGAAGAACGCTGCCACCAAGCACTCCATGGGAGTTTGGGCGGGCCTAGTGGGGTCAAAAACTTGGAAACCCAGAGCCTTTCCATGCCTTTCCTAGTTGATGGATGTTGGTGGTCTATCCATCCTGGGGGTAGGCCAGCTTCGTTTCACCATTATGGTGTAGGTCTTACTCCGGTTTGCACAACCTGAAAATCTCCAGGTACAACATCCCAGTCGACAAGAACAGGTCACCCAAGGTGGGTGGCTTCCAGGGCAAGGTGCCAAACTCAGTCGCAGCTGTTACTTTGAAGGCAATGGATCTTCCTGAAATCAGGGAAGGTTTGTCACTTCAAGAGATTGGGGTGATGGTGCCGAGGAAATCGAGAACAACGAGGACATGGAGAAGTTCTACAAGCCCAGCTAGAGCAGCTTAGGCCAAGCTGCCACAGAATGACGAATGGTTTTCCCAAACCATCAAGGGTATTTTTGTTCCTTTTTCTCAATGAATTTAACATAATTTAACCAACTAATCGATATACTTGTTTAATAATCAACTACATACCATTGAAATTGGAACAAATGGCAGTGATCCATTAAGACAGACCACCTATGCACCTAGTACAGCATGCACTTATCCAATTGGAAAAAGGAGGGTAGGAGGTCCGAGGCAGTAATGGCGACACTTTAGGACGAACGAACGGAGTACGAAAACACAAACAGACAAAACAAGCAAAAACATCAATTGGCTCTCGCACGGACCTTTTGAATGCAGTCGCAACGCGGGCCCACAGACAGTTGAGTGCCCACGGCCGCCAAAAATCAACTATTTAATTAATTTCTTGATTGATTAAGCTGTTCATTCAATTATATATATATATTATAATGTCATAGCTTGCGGACACAAAGAGGGCAATGGCACCTCTATGAGTTTAGCAGTTTCAACGGAGATTTTTCACTAAAATCTGGTTCGTGGTTTTAAATATGTGTTTTTTTTCATCGTGCCCAGAATGATGATCGCTATTGACATCAAGATGACCCCTCGGAAAACTTCAGATATTTGGTGGGCCCCATGCTCTATACACTGCCAGGGGGGATTTGACCCTGCCTGAGATGGCGCCAAACGGAGCCGTCTTCCGTGGCCAATCGGGACAGAATCGCCTGTGAAACACCTGAGGGGATGGCGTGGGTGGAGGCATTCCTCATCACCCATGAATCAATTTTGTTTGGGGAAGGTATGACAAGTAAGAGGGAAGATGATCAGGAATTTCTTGAAGCAGGCGAAAGTGTTAAGAACCGCTCTTGATCAGGAGAGTGTGAGGCAGAGACTGAGACATTCAGTTGCATGCCAGGAATGGTAGTGACTTAGTGGGAAGTGTCTCCCAAAAAAATCGATTTAAAAGTGCAAAAGGAACCCAAAGATGATTTGGAGCTTCTTTTTTCCCAAACATCGATTTCAAATCATGATTTCCGACACTTTGCTGGTCAGACATCCAGACACAATGTGGCTCTAGCAGCTAGTCCGACTGCACAAGCCAGCCATGAAAGACATCCTACTTTGTAGTTAAGCAGAAGTGGGTGCACAATGTGTCCCCACTATTCCAACTCTAATGAGAAAGGTGCGTGCAAAAAGACCTTGGGCATGAGTCAAATTGGGTTTTACTAGCAAAAAATTGAAGGAAAATAGTAGTAGAACGCGGATGAGTCATGCTGGAAATGATAAGACCATTTATGGGTTAAGGGCTTCACATTTTTCCAGGTGCTGATTTCGAAGAAACACCCCCTTGCCCCATGAATGCTACTACCAATCGAAATCTAGAGAGCGAACACGCTGCCATGGCGTTCTGAGATCGCCGTGATTGGCGTGGGAGGCTGTGACTTCTGGCAGGATTTCAGGCTTGGAATATCAAAGGCGTGAAGAATAACGATTGTTACAAAACTCATTCTTCCCACACCTTCCCACAGATTTCATCAATATTTGATGATGGCAACCCGGGATTAGTGAACACCCAGCTTATGAATTAGGGGAACCAAAATCTAAATAGTGACATTACATTTCGAAGTACAGTACAATAATACATCCTCTATATTATATCCATGAGCATCCAGAAGATAGGTGTTTTGGTGCATCGTCGGTTGACATCGGTTGAGATTATTTACAAATTCATCATAATACTTATTTATCAATCCCTTCCCCAGTTTTTTGGGTACTGGATCAAGTGATTTTGGGGCGTATGTGCGGCATGGGATGAATAGATAGTTCTGCAACAGTGTTCATCTATTCATTTTGTCAAGTCATCATGTTTCCACATTCTTCATCATTCATATGGTAAACCCATGTGAACCCAATCATAAATCATCCCACATCATCCCCAAAATCCCCATTTTTCTGGGAGGTAGAAACCATCCCCAGTCATGGTAGGTTTGCCGCGAAAGCGCTGCAGCTGGCCATGAGGTGCTATGGCATCTGCATCACGCCCAGGCGAGGCTGTTGAGGTGGGAAAAGGGTCCCAAGTTCTGAAGCATTACGTAATTCAATGTGGTATACAGTATACGGTGTATATATATATAATATGTATACTACATAGTTTTTGATAATATGCATATTCCAAGCTTGCGTCATTTGTTCACATGAGTGATAAAATCCCCATGCATCACCTGATGTACACTCAAGAGCAATCTGGTCTCAAGATTCAGGGCCCGGTGAACGGTGAATGGTGGAGCCGTCGGTGTGGTGGGGGATCATCTTGGGATCTCACATCTTCAGATCCATTTTCTGGGAGAGTGACCGAGCTGAGTTTTCTGCCTTGCAATCTGACATTGCCACCTTAAGGGTGGAGGTGCACCGTGCTCGGGACCTGATTTCTGGCTACAACGAGGTGCTTGAGGCGTGTGAATCATCTGCATACTGGCTTAAGTGGGCTAATAGTTGTCTGTGCTGGTTGGTGATTTGTATCCTTTTGATATTGGTGTTTGGGGCTTGGTGGATTCAGCAGCTGAAGTGTGACAAGGGCGGTAAGTTTCTTAGTGTCAAAGAGGAGGCTACTGTTTCTCTGGAGGGAGATCGTCAGGCAGTTGCTGTAATCCCGGGCCGCGTTGGGCCTGCCAAGCCATCTACATTTGGAAAGGGTAAGCCGTGATGGAAAGAACCCTCAACATCTCGGAACCACAGGTCCTCCTCCATTTTCCAAATGATGGGGGGGGCCTGTTCCATCACCATAGAGTTTGCCTGCACAAGATTGGCGGGGGTCAATGGGTCCTTTTGACTCCGGACCTTGACTTAGAGGTCGTGGACTTGAGCACAGCCAGACACCGTGTGCTCGCCCGCCATGCGCCATTCCCTGGAGACATCATTGACGAGTGCTACATTTTTGATGATCTGTCAAAAGCTGAGTTGGAAAGACAGCGTAGATTGGCTAAGACCATGGGTGCTATCTTAGATGATTCGGCTGATGTCAATGTGGACAGACAGGTGTGGATCGTTGCTGACCCATCTTCAAAACGGTTTGGAGAGCAGATCCCAGATGACAGTGTTGGGGATGTGGTTAGTTTGGGACAGTTCGGTGTTGTTCAATGGGATGGTGAGACTGATTTTGTGCGGGAAATGGGGGCCGATGCAGTGGCAGAGTTCAAAGAGAAGCGCAAAGAATCCCTGGGAGATGCCAGACTCTTAGGTGACCATCGAGATCCACAAGGCAAACGCTTCCTTGGACTGAATGATGCATTAGCCCTTATGACTCAAGACAAGTTCGATGACTGGGCGTTCACTGGGCCAAGATCAGTGCTTGAGTATCTCCAAGCGATCCGTGATGGGCCAGGGGATTTGGCCAGCTACCATTTGGGGTGGGTTAGGAGCAGTGGGGTCTCCGCTGCATCTGCCATTGCCCATGAGCATCGGTCGTTGGTTGAAACCTTGAGGCTGGCCATTAGTCGTGATCAGCTGGATGTTAGTAACCTTTGCAGTTTTGAGAACATCTGTCGCCGGTTGCTGACGCTCGAAATGGCTGTGGCACGGAACAGTGCCGCACCAGACTTCACTGGTCTTGAGGTCATCAGTGAGGCGCCGATTTCCAGTCAGGGTCAAGCCTATGTATCGAACATGGCCACTTGGGTCACCGACAGGCTCAAGGAGAAGGCCCAGATCCAGAAGCAGTCTCGATTGTTCCGCGAGGAGTTCAACCGAGGTGGACGCAAGCAAGGTGAGGATGAAGAGACTGCTGGTGGTGGCAAAAGATGGAAGTACAAGAAGAAGACCAAGACTGACGGTGGTGGGGGGCCTGCCTCCACCACCGGCGCATGACTGCGCCTTCCCGCCAGCGTGACTCCCTGCACCTCGGGGGTCATGATCATGCTGGCCATCAGGGGTGCGTTGATCGCCTTCGTGAGCAAAGAAGGCATGGTGACCCTTTCCCTTTGAATGCTGAGGCTGTGAGGGATTTTTGTAGGGATGCCAACGTTTTTGAACCTCGGCGAGCTCAATGGATCTGCAATAGCCTGAACCGTCTCGCCTCGCATGATGCAAATTCGCAACATTTTCCAGTTTTGAGCTCAGACCGGACGTCAAATGTAGTTCAGGAGTTTGTTACAGATAGGATCTGCGAATCACTTAGGATGAGCGGTTTGCCTCCTGCTGACACCTCCCCTGAGAGTGCTCTCAGGGAACTACAGACGGCGGAAATCTCCTATGACGGAACGCCCAACAATCTTGCTGCATATGATCCTGATAAGCTTAAAGTGCTGAAGTCCCAGATGAAGCCTAAGAAGATTGTTCGATTTTTGCCCCCAGAAGCTGCCAAGCTTGTTGAGCATTTCGAGAGCCAGATTCTTTTGCCTGAGGCGGCTGAGAGCGAAGCCTTTCAGCCGTATTGGGATCCAGCACTTAGGTTTGATCCAAAACGCCGACTTGATTTCATCTTGAAGCTGCATCGGGTTGGCCTCGTCAGTTTGCGTAGGACACCTCGTAGCTTCATCGGTGCATTCTTTGTAAAGAAGAAAGACCCTAATGCCATTAGGATGGTTCTGGATTGCCGGGGAACCAACCGGCTGCATCAATCTCCCCCTGTGACCCGATTAGGATCTGCTAGATGTTACGGGGATTTAGACTTAGAAAATTTGGGGCCCGGGGAAGGTTGGGGCATTGAGGCTGATGTCAATGACGCCTTCTATAACTTTGCCATCCCCGAGCTCACCCATTATTTTGCTTTGAATCACCCCCTCACTCGTGCACAATGGGAATCTTGTGGGGTTGATGCTGCATCCGTGTTTGACCCTAACACTAGAGGTTTTAGTAAGGTTGATCCTGATTGTTTCCTGTATCCTTGCATTGAAGCGGTCCCCATGGGTTGGTCTTGGGCGCTTTTTCTCTGTAACGAAGCAGTTCTGACAATTTCCAGATCCTTTAGTCCTTGGAATGATGGAGTTTTTAGAGAAAAGAAAAGTACCCCCCAGCTGTGTGATTATTCCACCTGCCTTGGCGTATACGTAGACAATATCACGATTGTTGGCAGGTCCAAAGAACATGTCGCGCAGCGTGCCCAGGCGTTGGAAGCTGCATTCAAGCAAGCCGATATACCGATCACGTGGACCCAGTCCGAGCCAGTGCAATCCTTAGAGAGTGTTGGGTGTGTTCTCGACTTCTCCAAGAAGCGACTGTGTAACAAACCCAAACGGCTTTGGAAGTTTTACTTTGCCACCCTTGGGCTTCTTAGACGGAATAAGCTGCATGGCCGTGTGTTGCAGGTTTGGGCGGGGCACTGCACTTCCCTTTGTAGTCACACACCATGGGGTCTGTCGGTTTTGCAGCATCTGTATCGCTTTATTGAAATCAGTCAGCATAAACGTGTTCGTGTTTGGCCATGTGTTCGCCATGAGCTCAAGATGGCCTGTTCACTAATCTGGATGACATGGCGGGACCTAGGGGCGCCATATTGTCGGCTGGTCGATGTTGGGGACTCGTCCAGCTCGGGGTATGCCATGATGACTTGTGACCCTGGTAAACCCCGCATCAAAGCTGCCATGTCTGTGCATGAGAAATGGCGGTTCATCCCCATGCCCGAAAGTTTGAAACAGGCTGCCCGGGATCACGATGCCCAACGTTTTTCGGACGCTCTCGCTGACTTGCAACAGTTGAGTCACCAATGCAGTGAGCCATTCGTTAAACCAGCATTCCATGATGCGCAGTATGCCCAGTGGGTGGTTGACTCATTTAAGCAGGGTAGCTGGTTAGCAACTTCTGCCATTAGGTCCCAACTGCGAGCTAAGCCCCATAAGAGAGTTGATGTTGATATCCCCTCCTTAGTTGAACCTGTAGACCCATTCTTTGCAGACCCCTCGAACTTCAGGTTGCTGTGGGCCAGAAGATGGAGAGATGTGTCCGAGCACATCAATCAGAAGGAATGCCGTGTTGCCGTGTCGTCGCTGCGCAGGGCTTCAAGGGTTAGGGAGATCATGGGATGTCGTAAGTTAACCCTCAGTGATAACTTGGCTACGGTTAGTTGCTTATCTAAGGGTAGATCCTCCAGCTTTAAGATGAACCGGCTATGCCAGACGGCAGCTGCCATCCAGTTTGGATGTGGCATCACTTGGCACATCCGACACGTTGAAACCAAGAGAAATGTGGCAGATGAGCCGAGCCGAATCCCAGAACGTAGGCATCGGGGAGTGAGGTTGCAACCACCTAGGGTCGAGGTGCCAGCCAGCAGTGGGCGATCCACGCCTAGCCATTCGAGCAAGCAGGCTGACATACCGACTCATGTTGATGCAATTCCCTCTAGTGCTTGTAAGTTTTTCCTTGAACTGTTTGCAGGATCGGCAAATCTCACACATGCGGTGGCACAACACAATATACCATGCCTTGAACCAATTGAGATCAAGAATGGTGTTCATTGTGACCTCCGTCGCAGAAAGACGCAAAGACTCATCATCAAGTGGATTGAAAAAGGAATCATAGGTTTTGTTCACCTTGGAACACCTTGCAAAATCTGGTCATGGGCCCGCAGAGGAGTCCGAGATTCACCAGCCACCTATGCCAAAGAGGCGGCTGGAGTTGAACTTGCTCTCTTCTCGGCCGAAGTAATCCGGACCTGCAATAAGTTTCAGATTCCTTATGCGATCGAAAACCCAGCCTCATCAAAATTGTTTTCTTTCATACCACTTGTTAAGGCTATAGCGACTGGTGTGTCATATACAGTAACTTTTGATATGTGTAGCTATGGGGAAGCTTTCAAAAAAGACACCAAAATGATAACCTCATGCTTTAGCCTCCAGCAGCTCGAGAAGCACTGCGCGCACCGCAGGCATGCAGTCTGGCTCAAAGGACGAGTGAGGGCAGAGGCTGGCCCTAATGCTGGTAAATATGTAAATAAAACAGAACTTGCAGGTGTTTACCCAGAACAGCTTTGTCAAACATACGCATGCGTGCTTAGTAACCTGAGAGTTGCCCATGGTGATCCAGCGGCGTGCAGAGTTGTCCAAGACTGTTGG